AGCGCCTGCATGTGGTATTTTGTGGAAGAGCCACACTCTAGGGGCCAAAGAGCCGCATGTGGCTCGCGAGCCGCGGTTTGCTGACCACTGCCCTAGGTTGCTGGCGCTGTAGCAGAAACTTCAGGAGGCAGTGAGAGGACTTCTAAGAAAGAGGGAGGCGGGAAGGGACACACTTGGCCCAGCCCGAGGGCCAGAGGTCAGCCTGGTTGCCGGCCCAGAGGCGGCCTTCGAGGCGGCCCAGCCTCGCTCAGCCCACGCACGTGGTCAAGGCCGGCCGCGAAGTGCAGGCCTGTGAGGCTGTGATCTGCCCCCATGCAGAGCCTCCTCCAGGCTGGCCTCTCCCGGCCTTCCTCGGGCGATGCCTGGAGAGGCCTGGCCGGGCCAGGCAGGAGCCCTCTGTCCCCCGTACCCCCCAGGTCCCTCGAGACCATTGGAGGGCCTGCGCTTTGGGGTCAGCCTGGCTCCACTTTCTTTTACGGGAACCCTGGCCATGTGCCCAGTGACTGAGCTCCGAGTTCCCGTCTGTAAATGGGGGAAATAGTAGTAATAGCAATGCCACCTGGGGCAGGTGACGCCTGCCTTCCCTCTGTGAGCACCTGGCATGAAGCAGATGCCCTAGTGACGTCAGTCCCTGCTCTCGCAGGTGGGGAACAGGTGCTGGGACTCGGCCTTCTCAGGGCCAGATGGGGGTTTCTCAGTGCTCCCCTGTGCTTTCGGCTCTGCAGGCCGTGGGGTACACAGAAGCAGCGCGGGGCCCTGAGCCTGGCCCCAGAGTCCTCAGAGCAGCAGGGCCCTGACACAGCCCCGCGGAGTCCCGTGCCGCGGTTACACTAGGTAAGTGAGCCCGCTGTACCCAGAAGCCTGGAATTTTCCCTGAAACACCCAGAGGCGGGCAGTTGTCTGTGTCAGAGTGAGGTCACTGGGATGACTCACCCCCGGACCGTGACCCAATGGAGCTCCGCGTCTGGACTCCTGAGGGGCAGCTGCTTGGGACCCCAGGACCCTCCACCCCCACCTGCACCCCCAGAGCCTGCTCCAGTCCCTGCTTCTCAGTCACCCCCGCCCACGGGGGCCCAGGCTGCCTCTGGGTGTTCAGAGGGGCCCAGGGACTTTCAAAGGGACTTTGGCGGGCTGAGCGGTGCCACTCACCCCCCTTGGCTTCGCCTCACTGGCTCGGCCCCCACCTTGACCTTTCCTTCCCACGGGGCTATTTTCGGGCGTTTCCTGTCCCTTGAATAGGTGAGGAAAAGGAAGCGAAAGAAGCTCAGTGCGTGGCTTCTCTACCAGCTGGCCAGTCATTGTCTTCGTTATTTGTTGTTAAAACGCTCCGCGCTCGTGTGACAAGCGGCCACGCCGGCGCAGCGGAGGCATGGGACAGGGTCAGCGCCCCGCCCACTGTCCTGCTGACCGATCACAGGCCCTCACAGCCTGCAGCAAAGGCCAGGAAGCCACTCCGCACACAGCAGCCTCACCTAGGAACATCTAGTGCGCACCTACTATGTGCCAAGCTTTGGCCGTTCCCTCAACTTGCTTCTCTCCCTCAACAACATTCGCTGGACAGTCCAAATGACCCTGTCAGAAGGTCGCTTCCAGCCCTGGCCGGACATTGACCTTGGGAAGAGGTCGAAAGTCCCCGTGGCCAGGCCCCACCCTGTGTGAGTTACATCAGCTCGGGGTGCGGCCCAGGTGGCACGGTGCTGTGGGAGCCTCTCTCTGGCTGCTCCGGCCGCCTCCCAGCAGCTGGGAGTGGCAGCCTCGTGGTCCGGGGGCTGGAGCTAAGGAGACCAGATCCTCTCTTTCTCTTTGGGAAGGTGACTTTGCCAGGACCAGGACCTGGGTGGGTTGGAGGCTCCCGCTCCTGTTCGTCAAAGACAGCTGTTAATAAGGGACCCCGGATGGCCTGACCTGTGAGGAGTCTGTCTTCCTGATGGAAAGGTTTCAACCAAGAGACAGAGTGTAGAGAAGCAAGCGAGAAGCTACTGACCGCAGCAGACACAACTCTAGGAGAGTGAAGGGAGGAAGGGTGCAGAAGAGTCGGACCCCTGAGCAAATACGGCCACGTGTCTCCTACTGTGTTCGTTGCTACAGAAAGACTTATAAACACTCACCCCCATGCCGGAACTGGGAGTTTTGACAGTTAGGTAGCTTACTAATGGTGTGTGTGTTGGGGGGAGGTTGGGGGTTGTCTGGAGGGGTCTCTCTTGTTCACCTTGTGTCCTCAGCGTCCCAGCTGGTGTGGCCCGTTGTTATAGAATAGTCAGAAGCCAGGACAGGCGGAATGGGGAAACTGAGCTAGGCAGTTAAGCAGCAGTTTGCAGCCGCCTAGTAAATCCCATCTTCCCCACACCAGGGACACTCAGAGTAAAGACCGTTTGTACTTCTCCTCCCCACCCAGCGGGTGAAAAGCTTACATCCCTCTACTCAGGGAGACAGATAACAGAAGTCCAGGTAGTGCCGTTTGCTACCCACACCCAAGGCCAGATAAACTAAGAGAATAAATCTCATGTTGGTGCAGCCGCATAAAGCTGGTGAATATGCTATTGATCCAGGGTGCTCTCTCCCTCCAGGGAGCACACCTGTGCCATTCCCCGCTTCCCTCACAGGCGTGTATCCTCTAATGCAGCCGTGGGCAAACTATGGCCCGCGGGCCGGATCCGGCCCGTTTGAAATGAATAAAACTATTGAAAAAAAAAGACCGTACCCTTTTATGTAATGATGTTTACTTTGAATTTATATTAGTTCACACAAACACTCCATTCATGCTTTTGTTCCGGCCCTCCGGTCCAGTTTAAGAACCCACTGTGGCCCTCGAGTCAAAAAGTTTGCCCACCCCTGCTCTAACCTCTAAGGGACCCCAGGAGGCTTGCCCCCAGGGGAGTAGTGGGCTGTGGCAGCTCATCCTGGGTTCACCCCTGAGCCTGTCTCTGAGGCCTGACTCTCCGACTTCCTGATGAGCGTAGGCAGCCCAGCCTCGGCCCTCCTGCTGCCCTCCTGTGCCCTGCCCAGTTTCCCTCTCCTGAATATACTCTCTCTGCTGTCAGTCAATTCTTGCTTGCTTTTCTACACTTGGCCTCTTGTTGGAATCTTTCCCCCCGAGAAGACAAGAGCCGAGGCCCCCTCTCCTCCTCTCCCCGGTAACACCGTGACGTGTGTCGGTAACGTCTGTCACATGAAGGAAGCCGAGGAGGCAGCACTGCCTGGGAGACCGGACTCAGACCCTGGGCTCGGGGATCCCTGGCTCTCCTGTCCCCAGGTGAGGAACGGAGGATCTGAGGTGGTGGGTGGCCCGGTCACAGTCATGGTCACCCCGTACTCCACCTGTCCTTCACTGCCCATACCCTTGTCCGCCAGGAGCAGGGCGGCGCCTGCCTAGCCGGCCTCCCACGGGCTACCCGCTGGCCAGCTGGGACCTTGAGGCCGGGAGGACTAGGCGAGAAACGTGACCGGGACTCCCTGGTGGGTTTGGAGCTCACCAGGTGTCATTGTGCTTCAGCGCTGTGCTGTGAGCTCATCTCTTCCTCACTCATCCCGAGTGAAGCCAGTCCTATTATTATGCTGTTGACACACATCCTCCCTGCCCCTGCCACACTCACAGGAGCCCGGTCCTCCCAGTGCCTGGGGCCCCGGGAGTCTGGCAGCTTCTGCTCTGCCCGCTTTCTCGCCCTCTCCCTTCTCCCTCCATCCTCCCCCTCCTCCCTTCCTCCCTCCTCCCCTCCTCTCCTTTCTATCAGCCATATCTTTATCATCAGTACATTCCATTTCCCCACCCGAGGTTTTCACTTATTTGATTATTTTGCCTGAAAACTATAGAAATGGATTCTCTCAGAGTTTTGGAGGCTAGAAATCTAGACTCAGAGGGCCGGCCTGCTCTCTCTAAAGACTCCTGGGCCGAGGCTTTCCTTTGCTCTGTTTGCTCTCTTCTTCCTGTCTATTCCCTGTCAACCTTTTACAAGAAAGATTCACTTGGCTACGCACTTCAGTCTCACACAGGTGGCTTTCCCCACTTTGGAATGGCATTCCTATGCACAGGATAAAAACCGCAATACATTAAATAAACTGCGCTTTGCTTGTCACACTGTCGCTTTGGTCTTTGTTATTCCCACACTCGTGTGGGTCTCCAGCCCAGCCCTCACTCATGAGCGCAGGTTCTCTCTCTCTGCTCTGCTCTGCCTTGCCACTCCCTCATTCATTCATTCACTCGGCGAGCCTTGGTGGAGTCCCCCGCGAATGGGGCTTTTTTCTAGGGTTCCATGAATAAACACCAGATGTTCTTCTCGGGAAGCTTATACCGAGTGGAGAGCCCAATATGTGAGCCAGTCCTGACCCTCCACAGAGGCCATGCTGGGTACCGTGACCCACCGCGCTCTGTGGCTAAAAAAGGGGAGTAGCCCTAGCCAGTTTGGCTCAGTGGATTGAGCATCAGCCTACGGACTGAAAGGTCCCAGGTTCGATTCCGGTCAAGGGCATGTACCTTGGTTGCAGACACATCCCCAGTGGGAGGTGGGCAGGAGGCAGCTGATCGATGTTTCTCTCCCATAGATGTTTCTAACTCTCTATCCCTCTCCCTTCTTCTCTGTAAAGAATCAATAAAATATATTTTTTTAAAAAGGGGGGGGGGGCGTCTATTTCAGCTATGACAACCCAGGAAGGGCTCCTGGACCAGATGTGAAATGAATCTCCACCTGAGCCTGGGTCTTTCCTAATAGCTTTATTGAGGTATAGTTTTAATATCACAAAGTTTACCCTGTATCAGTATACAATACAACGCCTTTTTTTTTTTTTTTGGTAACTTTACTAAGTGGTTCAACCATCACCATACATCAACCTTAGAACATGCACTCTGTCCCCTAGTCGGACCCTCCCTTATGCCCATTTACAGGACATCCTGTCCCCACTCCAGCCCTAGACAACCACCGATCTACTTAGTGTCTCTACTCATCTGCCCTTTCTGGGCATTTCACACGAATGGAATCACACACTGTGTGGTCCCTTGTGTCTGATTCCAGCAATATCATAGCATCTCTGAGAGTCACCCATACGGCAGCCCCTGTGACTCACATTTGCTCCTTTGTGTTGCTGAGTAGCGTTCCCATGTATGGATCTACCACATCTCACCTCTCTATTAATCAGTTGAAGGGCATTTAGGTTGTTTCCAGTTTTGTTTCGTTTTTTTGCTAATATGAATAATGCTGCTAAGGACACTGACTCACAAATCTATGTGTTGACATATGTTTTGCTTTCTCTAGGGTCGATACCTACACGTGGAATTGCTGGACCTCATGGTTAAGTTTATGTTTAACTTTCTGGGGAACCACTGAACTCTTTTCCAAAGATGTTGCCCCATTTTATATTCCCAAGGTTCTGTTTCTCCACACATTAGTCAATATTTGTTATTATCTGGCTTTCTGAGTAGAGTCATTCTCATGGGTATGATATAAATCACACTGCACGTTTCCATTTCTGTCATGACTAATGGTGTTGAGCAATCTGCTCACATGCTGGGTGGTGGTTGGTATGTCTTCTTTGGAGAAATATCTATTCATATCATTTTTGAAAAATATTTTATTTATTTCAGAGAGGAAGGGAGAGGTAGAGAGAGAGAGAAACATCAATGATGAGAGAGAATCATTGATCAGCTACCTCCTGCACGTCCCCTACTGGGAATTGAGCCCACAACCCGGGCATTGTGCCCTTGACCGGAATTGAACCTGGGACCCTTCTGTTTGCAGGCCAATGCTCTATCCACTGAATCAAACCAGCTAGGGCTGTTCATATCATTTTTCGATTGGGTTGTTTGTCCGATTATTGAGTTGTAGAAGTTCTTGGTAAATACTGGATAGAAGAGATTTATGAAATTTGGTTTGTGAATATTTTGTCCTATCTATTGCTTATCTTTTCACTGTCTTAATGGTAGCCCTTAAACACAAAAGTTTTGAATCTTTGTTAATTCCAATTGATTATTTTTTTCTATTATAAACCATGTTTTCAAATTTTGGCCTAACCCAAGGTCTTGAAGATTCTCCTCCCCCTCTCCCCTGACACACCCTCCCATGAATTCTTCTAATAGTTTTATTGTTTTAGTTCTTACATTGAAATCAATGACCCATTTTGAGTTAGTGTTTATGTATGGTGTGAGGTAAGGGTCTAAGTCTTCCTTTTGCATGTAGATGGGTAGCCAACTGTCCCAGCACTGTTTGCTAAAGAGATTATCCTTTCCTTTAATGAACTGCCTTGGCATTTTTGTTAAAAACCAGTTGACCATGAATGCAGTCAAGAATCTACACTAATAAAAGAGAAAGATGCAAATTGACCATATCTCCGCAATACCCACCAGCCAATCAAGAGTGAGTATGCAAATTAATCCAACAAGTATGGCGGGTTAATTTGCATACACAGGTGCAGAGTGAAGACTGAAGACAACTGAAGACTGAAGAGGCTTGGCTTATCCACTGCAGCCGGAGCGGAGAAGCCAAGCCTTGCTGCGGCCGGAGCGGAGAAGCCTAGCGAAGGCCTGGGTCCCAGGTGCCGGAGGAAAACTGGTGCCCGCTGCCAGGGGAAGGAAGGCCTATTGCACGAATCTTCATGCAACAGGCCTCTAGTATTGTACTAACTATGTACGGTGTCAGGTGGGGACTAGACTTATCGGGGTGATCACTTCATAAAGTGTATAAATGCCTAATCACATTATGTTGTACACCTGAAACTAATATCATATTGTATGTCAGCTGTAATTGGACAATAAATTAATTTTAAAAAATAAAGAAAGAATACCACAACTTTTCATTGCCCGGTTGCTAGATGTATCATCCGATTGAATGCACAAGGGCTCCATTACAACCTTCTTGTTCTCTAGCCTTAAGTAGGGTCTGAAATGATTGAGTGTAAATGAGAGAACAGAATGATAGCCCTTATAAATGGCTTGTGCTTGCAAGATGTATCAGAGAGACCCCTGTTAATTTCCTGGATGGTTCGTTAAGTAAAAGAACTTAGTCCAATTTAATAACTTAGTCCAATGTAAGGCTGTTTCTCTAGATGCATGATTCCCAGGGATCGGCTCTCATAGCTGGTTAAAACCCATCAGCAGAGCCAGGAGACGACAAATCTCCGTGGATCTGGCAGGTTGGTGGGGTCGTGGTTACCTTGCCTGTGGCTGGAGCCCACCTCGGGGGGACAGCACACAGATGAACGAATGGGCTGTGGAAATGGTGCCCGGCACCTACAGGAAGCACGGGATCTGTTCGCAGTGGCCATCTCAGCTGAGCCATCTGAGCCAGCTGCATTTTCTGACAGCTTCCGTTTCACCCAGGCTTCACCTTGAGGCCATGTGACTGAACCACATTTTATTATGAAAAATTTCAGGCATCGAGACAGGTTGAAAGAAGAATACCATCCCAGAGCACCCTTACAGCCACCAACAGACTCAGCAGTTGTCAATGTTCTGCCATATTTAATTTATTAATTTCGTGTGTATGTCCTTCTGAACGTTTAGAGCAAAGCGCTCACATGCTGACTTTTCATTGCTAAATTCCTCTGCGTGCATCTTGTAAGAACAAGACAGTCTCCCAAGTCACCACCAAAGCTAACACGTCCATCATATCACCGAGCATCTAGTCCATATCCAAACAGCCTTTGTCTCGGCAGAGGGTGCTGCCAAATTTTGAGATTTTTGCTAGTCAGACGCAGTGAAATGTGTTTCTCTTACTGTGATTACAAATGAGCATCTTTTTGTTGTGGTGGTGGCTCATCTTCACCCGAGGATATTTTTCCATTGATTTTTAGGGCCTGGGATCAAGCCTGCAACTGAGGTACGTGCCCTTGACCGGAATGGAACCCAGGACCCTTCAGTTCTCGGGTTCATGCTCTGTCCACTAAGCCAAACTGGCTAGGGCACAAATGAATATCTTTGTCCATGATCACGGTCCTTCTACAGCTCTTCTCCTGTGAACTGTCTACCCATGGCTTTTGCCCATTTTAGAATCAGTTTTTAATCTCTACTTTTAAGAACTTCTTAAATATTGGTGGAATTAGCTTTGTCTCTAAGTTGAATTTATCAAGCTTTTCTTTGATCATTTCTGCATGTTCAGTCCTACACTGAAAGGCTTTCCTCCCTCCTGATAATAAAGGGGTCCCCTCACGTTTTCTTCTACAAGTGGTAAGGTTCGTTTTCAAAATCTAGATGATCTCTGGCCCATTAGGTATTTACTTAGGTGTTTGGAGTACAGTGTGGGTCCACTTTTAATCTCCCCTTCCCCACCCCATGGCTGTCCAATTGTCCCAAGACCACTTATTTTTTATTTATTTAGACTTTTAAAAATGTATTGATTTTAGAGAAAGAAAGGGAGAGAGAAACATGGGTTTGTTGTATGCATGCATGTATTGGTTGATTCTTGTATATGTCATGACTGGGGACCAAACCCATTATTGATTTTAGAGAGAGAAAGGGAGAGAGAAGCATGGGTTTGTTGTTCCACCCATGTATGCATGTATTGGTTGATTCTTGTATATGCCATGACTGGGGATCAAACCTGCAACTGTGGCGTATCGGGGCGATGCTCCAACCAACTTAGCTTCCTGGCCAGGGCCCAAGATCACTTATTAAAAAGTCCCTCATGTCCCAGTGATTTGAGATGCCACCTTCATCATGCACCAGATTGCCCGTGTACTTGGGCAAATGTCTGGAC